GCGGGCGCGCGCGCGCGCACTGGGAGCGCGCTCGGAGGCGAGTGGAACTGGATCGCGTTTGCTGCCAGCGGCGTGAGCTTCGGCCGCCATTTTACAACAGCTCCACTCGCGCCGGACACAGGGAGCAGCGAGCACGCGTTTCCTGCAACCCCATTCCTTCGGACAGGATTCCTCCGCTGCAGCCCAACGGGGAGGTAACGACCGCCAGGGCCCGGGTTTGGGAGGGGAGCTCTGTGACATTGTGGAGTGAGCTGGGGGAGGGCGGCGCGGGGAGAAACCGGCTTTTCTGGAAAATGGATTCCAAGGGGGAGAGGAGCACGTTGACTGAGGTTGTCTAGGAGTAGGCCGCGGCCCGCGCCGCCACTTCCTTCTCTGCTCCATGTGCTGCCGCCGTTCGGGCTTTGTCTGCCTTGCTCCGGGTAGGAGGCGCCTCCGCCGCTCCGTGGCCCGCGCGGACCGCGAGCGGCGGTGGAGTTGGTGCTGTCGTGGCCGTCGCCGCGGCGTTAGTGGGCGGAGAGGAACGAGTTCCGTCCCGCAGTCGCGCGACAAGCTTGGGTGGTGCTTGCGGTCCGGCGGGCGTTGGGCAGTTTGTGGAACGCACTCATGCCGCCGGGTCATTGACCCCGGCGGGTGTAAGATTGCCGGCCCTGGAGCCGCAGTCACTCACCGACGGCCGAGGGGGTGGGGGCTTGCAGATCGCGCCACTGGTCACGTCTCGGCGGGGCAGTCGGGTGACCGGGGTCGCCAGCACCTGGGAAGCTCCTGGGGTGGAGAGAGCCATGTGTCACGGCAGAGAGGGCGGCGCTGGGGGGGCGGGGAGAGCCTGTGGCCTGGTCCGCCGCGGCCTCAGTGTTGTGAGACGAGATTGTGCTGCTGCTTTTGGGGGACTTCGACCGCGACTTCGAGTTGATGTAGAGAGCTGGTGATGGTCGTCTTGGGCTGGGTCTCGGTAGGTTTTCGTGGAAGGAAGTTGTAGAACATAGGAAGGCGAAGAGCACGTGTTTCTAATGGGCTCCTGGCGGCCGCTGCGGTGAGGCTGCTGTTCTGGGTGCGGAATCGGGGGCGGGCTTTGGGGTGCGGGGGTGAAGGGTGGAGAAAATGGGTGGTGGGAAGGTAGCTGGTGTGAGCGCTTTGTTCTTCTGTTGTTACTGATCTATAAGCGGCAGGCGGGAAAAGCGCGCACTTTGGGGGTTTACCTTTGAGGGAGACAACCCTGCTTTGCTTTTTCCACACACCGCATTCTCTGTTGCCAGCACAGCTGCATGTGCATGCTGGCGCGTTCTGTGCTAAGTGGACTCCATTTGTGATATGGTTCTTCCTAGGGTGAGTTAGGGGTGTTAGCAGGTGAGTTAGGGGTGGTACTGAGGAAAACCATAGTGAATTGGTCATTAGGTGCCCTGCGTTCCAAATCTGGCTTGTCAGGCGATAGTGACTTTAAAAGTAAGGCCTCTTGAAAGCGAGGCGCAGACTTGCTGGTGTAGTCAATGGTAGAGAAAGTCAAGATTGGGGCTCTTAAATTGTCCGCTATTTTCGAAGATTGTAGTTTAATTTTGCTTATTGCGTTTGAACAGATCTCTGGAAACATGGCTACAGAACATGTTAATGGAAATGGTACTGAAGAGCCCATGGATACTACTTCTGCAGTTATCCATTCAGAAAATTTTCAGACATTGCTTGATGCTGGTTTACCACAGAAAGTTGCTGAAAAACTAGATGAAATTTACGTTGCAGGTAAGAACTAACACTTGCAAAATTACATTATGAAATTTTTCTATTGGATTTCTGGCTTTGAGCTAAAATAGCAACTTTTTGTGGTTTCCAATAAGTGTGGGAACTGGAGTTTTGACTTGTTGTGATAGTAGCTTAATTCAGCTTTGAACTACAGGTTATGGTGTATAGAGGGAGGGTCGAAAGGGAGGGACAGGAGCTAAAGGTTAGTTGGCCTATGGATAAGTATAAGACAGCAACAGTTGCTAAATGTTGGTATCAGGCCATGTGACTTTTTGGGTATTTTTATAGTAGTATTCTTGTTAAATAATCTGGTAAGTGTAGACTTGTACCCTGTCTTTCTTGGTGTGGCTTGTCACTTTTTTCAAGTGGTATTTGAAATTGAATAGAGGTTCAGTTGTCATGCTTGGTACTTTGTTGGTTGGTTTTAGGATTTGTAAGCCTGTTTATTTACTGTAGTAAATAGTGTTCAGAATTGCCTGACTTAGACACAAAACAAGATGTAAATGAAGTTGATTCATTGTAAATGTAGTGCAGAATGGGTAAAGAATGTGTTTTTCATTATGTAGATATGGGAACAGCAGAATTGTTAGTTGGCATACATGTACCTGTATTGGTCATTTTTGTTTTATTTTTTAAATCATATTCTAGAAATATTCAAAGCTGACAACTAATGAAGTTTTCTCTTCTCCAGGGCTAGTTGCACATAGTGATTTAGATGAAAGAGCTATCGAAGCTTTAAAAGAATTCAATGAAGACGGTGCATTGGCAGTTCTTCAACAGTTTAAAGACAGTGATCTCTCTCATGTTCAGGTACATGTTCATTGTAAAACTAATGAAATAAAAAATTGAGTAGTTTTTGTACACTTTGTTAAGTTTTATTTAGCTAGATACATGGATATTATTGTTCAATGTGATTGGAAATTTTCTTTACAGAACAAAAGTGCCTTTTTATGTGGAGTCATGAAGACTTACAGGCAGAGAGAAAAGCAGGGGACCAAAGTAGCGGATTCTAGCAAAGGACCAGATGAGGCAAAAATTAAGGTATGTCTTAAAAAATTTGCTTTTTTTCCCACCTTCAATTTTAAGAGTTCTTAGAGCTATTTCCTAGCTTTGGTAAATAGTCCATGGGTGTAAAATGAGCTTGTTTGTTTTTAAAGTAATGAGAAAGAAGATAATGAAATAATTAACGTTTTCTAAGTTTTTTAATTGTTTTAAAATTCATTGTTCTTAAGATTGGTTGTTACCCAGCTACATAAAGTTATTTTAAATTTATGCTGTTGATCATTCCAGATATAAAAGATTTAAAGAAATATATGTCCATAATACATATAGACATTGTTACAAAAGCTGTAAGTCCAGATTACTGACAGTGGAACCAGTCTGGGAGGGCATCAATTAACCTACTGTAGTGGAGACTGTAAATTGGTTCTTAGTATATTCAAGCCATAAATTAAATTAATTTAGAATTTTGACACTGCCTTCTCTTGCATTAGTACAGTTAAGTTATTTTTAAAGTTTTAATTGATGATAACATGTTTGAATATGGAAATGTAATTGAAGAAAAGTATCAGGAGTGGGAGCTATTGTGAGCTGTTTTAAAGTAACTTAAAATTCATCTAGGTTTTGATTTTTGTGTTGATGAGGCGTAGTTTATAGAAAATAACTGTGACCATACTTATTTTAACCTGGGCACTTTTAATATATAGCATGCCAGTGCTCTTGAACCTAAGGATTGTTGTTTAGAGTATTATGTCTTAGCAGGGCAGATATGTTGAGTGATGCTTTAATTGTATGGGGCAAGGGATGCCTGGAATATGGATTATTGGAATATGTTAGACTCTATCGATGAATCTGAAGTTTTTACAGTCTCTGACTGGAGTTCGTTTGCCATATAAATCTGATTTTTTCCGTAAGAATGGGCATGGTTGCCCCATTTGTAATAATGTCAGTTATAATTAAAGGTACATTTAGGAGCTTGAATTTAATAAAATATAACAATATTTATAGATGTGTTTATTCTGACTATATCACTCGCCTTAAAGTTTGGCAAAATGGAATTAAAAGTTACTAGAATTTTCCCAGTACTATTTGTAACCCCCTCATATGGTTCAAATTGTGGCAAGAGTATAGAGATAGTTTTACAAGAGATGAGGGGTGTTTTTTTTCCTTTATGTTTTTAGAAATACACAAAAAATATTATTTGGGTCCTATTGGTGCAAGGTTGGTTTAAACCACAAGGTTGGCTGTTCAGACCCATGAGCTGTTCCTTTGAAACCCTAGTTTATGAGTAGGAACCAACCCAACTTGGCACAATACAACAACAATGCTTTTCTCTGTAGAATAGGAATTACATATGGAAAACAAATTTTGGGTGGGATAATTGTATGGTATTGTGGGTAAAGTGCTGGACTGCAAAGTCGTTTGAATTGTTAGATCTGTGGTTCAAGCTCACCAGTCACTCCTTGGAAACCTTACACAGAGTCACTATGGGCCGGAACCGACTCGATGATACTTAACAGCAACAGTGTTGTTGTTAAGTGCCTTCCAGTTGGTTCCAACCCATAGCGACCCTGAACAGGGTTTCCGAGGCTGTAAATCTTTATGGGAGCAGAAAGCCTCATCTTTCTCCTGTGGATCAGCTGGTAATTTCAAACTGCTGACCTTGTGGTTCACAGCCTGATTCGTAACCACTATGCTACCAGAGCTCCTGGAGCAACAATAGAAATACCCCAAATATGTAGGGTTTTTTTTTTTTTAAACAAAAATTTTTGACTAAACTGTATTGTTTTCCACAAATTTTTTTTTTTAAGTCAGTTGAAAATATTAGTCTGTCTAATCACTTTAATTTTTCAGACTGAGGTAACTCCCAAGTTATTTAATAATCTTTTGATAAGTTTTGCCATATGGCTGGGATTGTTGTTTCGTGCCCTTTAGTCACTTCTGACTCATAGCAACCCAGTATAGAGTTTCAGAGGAGCAGCTGGTGAGTTTGAACCACCAACCTTGCAATCCTGTGTTTATCCTATAGCAACACAGCAAGGCTGGGGTTAGTGTTTTTATTTTAAAATTTATCAGCCAGGTAATTGTTTATCTGTGCTGTTTTGTGAAGCATGGTACTTGAATATGACTGAATAAGTTACTTTTCTTGTAACTTACAAGTTTCTAGATTGTATAGGAAGTGTAGTTTCTGTAAAGGTTGGTGAAATGCTCTGAATGGGAGTATAGAGATATAGCTTATTTATCTCCTTAAGAAAGGAGGATTCTCAAGAGAGAATTAAACTCAGCCAAATTGGATGTAGTCATTTTTTAGGAGGCATATCAGAGATACGTTATTGCCCTGAAAGTTATTGATATATTAAGTTCTCTAATTTTATTTGTTCACTGAACTTGTGGTCTTGTGTGCTAAATATTATATTAATGATAGTTGAACTTTTTAAGGCACTCTTGGAAAGAACTGGCTACACACTTGATGTGACCACTGGACAGAGGAAGTATGGGGGACCACCTCCAGATTCCGTTTATTCAGGTCAGCAGCCTTCTGTTGGCACTGAGGTAAAGAAACTAAAAATTTGTACTTTTTATATAGTAAATGCACAGGTATCTAGCTACCTAAAGAAAATTTCCATGGTTTTTACTTCACATTTTGATTTACAGATATTTGTGGGGAAGATCCCAAGAGATCTATTCGAGGATGAACTTGTACCATTATTTGAGAAAGCTGGACCTATATGGGATCTTCGATTAATGATGGATCCACTTACTGGTCTCAATAGAGGTTATGCGTTTGTCACTTTTTGTACAAAAGAAGCAGCTCAGGAGGCTGTTAAACTGGTAAGTTTTTTCCTCTTTATTCTTTATATTGAATTGTGGTTTTTCTTAACTGTGCTTAAGGGTTAACCTGCTAACTTTGGAGGTGCTGATTTTTCAGTGTTTTACACATTTCTATGCATGCATTGTGTTATGTTAGTGTTTAGATTAAGAAGATAGTGTCAGAATTCCTAGCAGTTGGTTGTTTGAAATAGCTGGCTTAATGATTCTTATTTTTGTAGTTCATAGTGGTGTAAAAAGATGTAAGAAAGTGACTTTATTAGCAAGGTGCCTCCCATTGTTTTTAGACACACCAGGTCATCCCTTTTCTAAAATTTTTCACAAAAGATATTGTGATTATATATTTCCAATTAATGAAATAAAGGATTTTTGCAGTGAGTGGCCTAGGTTTTGAAGATCATTTTCTTCTCATTTATTAAAAAGAATTTTTAATGTTTTGAATTATGGGTTATTTAACTCCCCTTCAAGTTAGTTTTGACTGATTTCTGCACTTTGTAGTTGAGGAAGGAGGGAAGGCTTGATTTCAGCCTATGAAATATACCAAAAATAACTGGAGAGGAGTGTTTGTAGATACAATTCAGTAGAGCATGTATGCGCACTAAAATTTGTCTTTTATGTGGCTCACAAACTTTATGGATAATTCAAAGAAAATTTAAAATCTCAAAAATGATTTTCTCTATTGAGAGTCCTTCCCTCACCATCAGATGTATCACTTGAATTTAAGGCAAATCTTGTGAAAAAAAAGTTATCTTGTTTTGTTCTGTATTAATGAATCCTTTGTTGGTATGCGTAATTGCATAGGATGAGGGTTTGATAGAGAAAATTATGCTACTTCGAGGTACATAAGGATCCTTTATAAGAATTCAGAGGCTTAAGTATTTTTAAATCATGGCTAATTATTGGCTGCTTAAAAGGTTGCTTCCTATTTCAGAGGGGATGTACCTCTTTATAGAGCCATTCACTTTGAGCGGTGTCAAACTTAAAAGTTTAGCAACTAAGAAAATACTAAAGGACTCCAAAAGCTTGAGGAAGAAGTGCTTTAGAAATGATCCAGTTTAATACTCTCTTGTAAAAGAATAGAGTATTTTTGCCTAGAGTAGCATTAAAGTAAGTTTTAACGTGGAAATGCAAAATGACCTAGAAGGTAATAAGCCAATGATGTCAGACCTTATTAAAATATTAACATAAAATTTTAGTTTTGTTCAGTGATAATATGGTTACTTTGTTTTATAAGTAATGCTTTGTGTATTAACACTTTTAAAAAGGAATTACTAAACTGATTTCTAACCTGCTTTTAATTCTCAGAATACACAACAATAGTAGGTTCTTGGAATTCCAAATTCCAGAATTCTTACAGTATAGATACTTTTATTAGTGAAAGATGCTGTGTACTACAGTTGTAATAATGATTTTGGATGATAACAAATACACATGAAATAAATGTTTGGGTTTGGGCAGTTGCCTGGGTTTAACAAATCTTAAAATCCAAAAATTTATTGCTATAGACTACTTAGAGTTACAATGTTAATAAATTGGTAGTTTTAAGTGGTAATGCCGGAACTTTATAGATAGCAAGCAGCCTTTTGATTGGTCTTGATAATAATTCTTTTTATTCTGCATTTTTCTGTTGTGATTTGATTCCTTATCCTAGGAGCATAGTTATTTTTTATTACTCGATGAATAGGATGTTTTGCAGTATGACTTTTTGAGAGACATTCCTAGTGGCTGTGGTTGGTATACATCCACTGGAGTGAATTGGAAGTATCTCTGTTGTTTTTAAAGGATGTTTGATTTTGGCATGAGTCAGAATAGACTACACAGCAACTGGTGGTATTACTTTGGATAGGATTATAGTGGAAATGTAATTGGGAGATTTGTTTTTATTACGCAGAAACAGGACTGAGGAAATGAAATATTTGAAACAATTCTAGAGAAAATAAAAAAGTTGATTTGGATGATTTTTGCTACTTTGTGGAATTGAGTGTCTCCCCTGTGGTACCACAGGATAATAAGCTGTACCACAAGGTCAGTGGTTCAAACCTACCAGCTGCTCCTCAAAAACCTTACGCAGGGTTGCTGTGGGTCAGAACTGACTTGGTGGCACTTAACAACAATTGCTAAGTATAGGGTAATTCCTCAAGGGACCATTTGGAACTTATTTTAGAAATTATTTCTGCTTGTATCATATCTTGAAAGTTTACTTAAAATTACAACCTATTGAAAATGAATTTTTATTTTCATTTTATTGTGTCCAAATGTTGGGGAAATTCTTCTTTTGCTGGTGTGGCGCTGTGGGTGGATGCGTCAGACTACAAAGTTGTTTGAACTGCATGGTCGGCAGCTCAGGCTCACCAGCTGCTCCTTGGAAACTCTATGGATCAGAATCGACTTGATGGCACTTAACAACAACAACATAGATCAGAGAAGATAGAAACCCCATTCTCTTTCTTTTCAATGTCTTGAATATCTCAGGTGACGATAGCTTATGTATTTGGCCATATTCTTTTTTATACTGATATTGCAGCAATCTCTGTTCTATATTAACTATAGTATATTTCGCATTTGTATTTGAATTATCCATGAAAATGGATTAATTGATGTTATCACCTGAAGAAGAGGCATGAAGTTAGAAGCAACTGCAAACTAAAGTGGCCTTGTTTTCAGCTAGCATTTTCTTTGTTTTGGGGACATAAACATTTTTCAGTCATAAGGTGATAATACTCTTATATAGTGAAACAAGATCTAAATTTGTGAGGGCTTGTTAAGGGGCAAGAGCTGTGCTAGGTTCTATATTATTTTAAAATCCCATTTCAACCCTTAAGGTAAATGGAATTGTCTTCATTCTACAGAGGAGTATAAAAAAGGCTGGGTGACTTGCCCAGTAAGATCACACACCTTACTTAGACACCAGGTTTGGTTAGGTTGAGTTGGCTGTTAACCAGTACCAAACCAAATCAGTTGTTTTTGAGTCAGTTCTCACTCGTTGTGACATCCCATGTGTTTCTGAGTAGAACTGTCTTCCATAGAGTTTTCAGTGATGTGTATGAGCTTTTAGAAATCGATTATTGTTGCCAGCGAGTAGGTTCTATTTTATAGCGACCCTGCATAGGGTTTCCAAGGAGCAGCTGGTGAACTTGAACTGCTAACCTTGTACTTCAAAGCGGCCTTGCAGTCCAGTGCTTTATCCCTCAGGCACCAGGACTCCTTAGAAGTAGATAGCCAGTACTTTTATCTCTGGATTTGAACTTGCAAATTATTGACTAGTAGCTGAGCAACCAACCCATTTGCACCAATTGTTAACTGGATGCAATTGAAGCCAGCAATACGAGAGACTGATAAATGTCTTTAGTTACTGTGATTTGTTTCTTTTTAAAATTTTATTTACAGCAGTGTTGTAGTCCTAGTGTGGTGTGCTATAGGATAAGAACTGGACCGCTCAAAGTTAGCGGTTCAAACCCAGCAGTTACTCAGAAAGTCTATACAGGATTACTGAGTTGGAACCAACTCAATGGTACTTGTTGTTTTTAAGTATCTTGGAGTTGGTTCTGACCCATAGCAACCCTGTACCGGGTTTCCGAGGCTGTAAATCTTTATGGGAGCAGAAAGCGTCATCTTTCTCCCGCGGAGTAGGGAAATGTTATAAAAGAAGTGCAGAAAGTAAATCATGTCTGTCTCTGCCAAAGTACTCTTGATGTGTAACCACTCTGCCATCTTCATTATATCTGACGGGGCTCAGTCATCTTTTGATAGATGACTGAAGAATCTTTCTGACTAGTCTCCCTACCTTTCATTTCACAGTTTACCCTTTTAACAGGTTACTTAGATCATATTTCCTGTGCTGAAAACTAATGGCTTCCAAAGTCAACTGTATCTGTTAAATCCCTTGCTTATGTCTATCTCTGATGGTTTCTCCCCTTCCACTTTTGCTCTTCTTCATTATCCTTTCAACAGTAATTGCTGCTGTATTAAGTACTGTTGAGATGGTTCTGACCCTGGTAGTGTAGTAGTTACACATTGGGCTGCTAACGGCAAGGTCAACAGTTTGAATCTACCAGCCACTCCATGTGAGAAAGATGATGCTTATTCCTGTAAAAATTACTGCTTCCAAAACGCTATACGGGGTGGCTACGCGTCAAAACCAACTTGATGACACACCTCACTACCATATAATTTGCAAGGCTGTAAATCTTTGTTGGAGCAGAAAACCTCATCTTTCTCCCATGGAGTGCCTAGTGGGCTTTGAACCTCCAACCTTTGCATTTCACAGTCCAGTGTTTATCCAGTGAGCATACTTAGCCTGTTTTTGTTCTCCACGGAAGCTGTGTCCATGTCCATCTCAAGACCTTACCCTGCTGTTTCAGCTTTTCAACACTTCAATTCATCCAGTTAGCTTCCTCATTAATCAGGTCTTTAATTTTAGGCCTTTCCTAACTTTAAGTAGTCTTTCCCCATAGGGATTCCATGGCTGAATATTATATAAAAGAATGCTCAGGTATATTTGAGAAGGTCTTTATACATTGATATTTCTCTCTTCCAATCAAAATATAAGCTCTTTTCCCCCATATCACCAACATTTAGTACATTGTCATTGTTAAGTGGATGACAAGTACCTACTGATACATTATCTGTGACACAAGAAATTACAACGTTCTTATATACCTCATATGCCATTTTGCTATTTGACGGTTATGTAGCTTCTGTTTGCAATTATATATTGTGTACTTGGAGTCCTGGTGAGGCGCTGTGGGTTAATATGCTGGACTGCAAAGTCAGCTTGAACTGCAAGGGTTGGCAATTGACGCTTAACCAGCCGCTCCTTAGAAGCCCTATACAGGGTCGCTATGGGTCAGAACTGACTTGACAGCACTTAACGCCAACACTGCTGTGGCGAAAAAGGAGCTCTGGTAGTGTAGCAGTCACAAATTGGGCCGCTAACCTCAAGGTCAGCAGTTTGAAACTACAGCTGTTCTGTGGGAGGCTTTCTGCTCCAGTAAAAATGTATA